ATTAAGTTCATCGAAGCACTCTTGTCTTGACAATCCACGTCGAAAGTTATGAAAAATAATGGCACGAAAATGTTCACGATTCAATTCCATTTTTTGAAAGAGAAGAACTTTTCAATTTACTGTCAACAACACAAATGAAGCTATAATGGTAAATCGTCTGCTGAATTTATGTTTAAAAATATCAAACTTTCGATTGAAATCGTCTGCGGTCGCCTAGCAACACTTACTGTTGCCAAGGCCAGAAATATAAATAGCAACCCTCGTATTGTGCAAATTGAATCAAGAAATTCAGAAGAGTAATAAAAGGCATCGAAAAAAATTTCTGACTAAAAGATGCAATGCATGTGTGATATTTAATCCTAAAACTATGGCTTCAATTTACTAAAAAAAACTATTTAAGCAAGGTATTATTAGATTGACCTCAAACACAATGATTGAAAACTCTATACCCGAATTTTAACAAATATTTTTTTAATGAAGTATGGGTGCAGGATAGTGTAAAATTCAATCAACAAATTCAGAAAAGTAATGAAAGAAATCAAAACGATGAAATGTTTACATAGAGCATGGGTTCGCAAACCTCGTTGATAGAAAAAAAAAACTGCGAAACACGTTAGTTTTCAGTTCACAGACACCTGTACTGTAAACACTGTATTTTCATTTTCATTTGGTTAGCATTGAAATGTTTACTTATTTATCTTCTTTTAAACTTAGAAGAAACATTTGTACGTCAAGATTATTTCCTTAAAGATTTCCTAAAAGCATGCCTAATTCTTTCCAAAAAAAATTTCCTTTTTTACCTTTTGCTTCAAACTACCTCGCTTTTGCTAGTTTACATAGTTAAACTTAATATTGCTTCAAGCTTTGTTTGGTTTATTTCTTAATTATTTATAAGCCTTGTTGGGCTCTGTGAAAAACATTGTTTTTGACATTAAAATCCACCTTAGACAGCTCTCTGGGTAAGCTTTGAATCTAGAGGAGGTAAATGGTGGCAGTCAGTTGAAGCGTGCACTACCTAAATTTACCAAATACATGCTACTCTTCCTGCTAACTTTGAGACTGTCTTCAATTTGGTAGATATCAAAAGCTTACCTTACATCTTCAGGTGCATCTGGGAATTGCTTTTGCATCCCTGTATACTGTGAAATGACGCCAATGACCGCCGTTTCGAGCAACTTTTGTTATAGAAAATTGAATAAGTATTTTTGTGATTTAAAGTCAAACTACATTTATTGTTAAAGTCAAACTACATAACATAAAAAAGAAATCAAATCAACTACGGAACTTATGCATTGAAAGTTCACTTTATAAATTAACAACTACAAGTACTTATTATCAATAATATGCATTTTATCCTTTTGTGAAAATAAATATGTGAATAAAACAAATTATATATTGCAAAGAAATTCTAAATAATTATTATACATCTTTAATGATTATTTAAAATAACGAAATAAAAACAATGCTTTAGAATTTCCTTAATCTTGATATTTATTTACTATTATAAACATTCTTTATGTTTGGAAAAACTTAGTTCATTTAATATTATTTATTTTTTTATAAAGGAAATTTGTACAACTCCAACAGCTACGTGCATGCGCTGGTCAGACCGAACGGTAAGTTTCTCTACCTGTATCAAAAATCGGAAATCAAGATGTTAATTAAAGAAGTCATTATTGAAAATGTATTACAAGTAATATTCCAAAAAGCAACAAAAATAACATTTATGTTTCTGAAATATTTCGTCAAAATATTTTTTGAAGGAATACTTTAAGAGTGGATATTATTATTTCCTTTATAAAATTAAGATGCTTACATTTTATAAAGGAAATATTAAATAAAAAATTTATAAAGGAAATATTAAAAAAAAGTGCACTTTAATAATAATGCAGCTTAGATTCATTTACACTATTTGAAATTTAATATTGTTTGTTTTATTTTTTAAACATTGGAAATTGATTTTTTTCGACAAGATCATTATTTATGTTTAATTAGTTTTATATTGATGTACCTCAAAAATTGGGAACACTCGTTGCAAAAATCTTTAAAAACATATGTTTCAAGAACATTAATTTGTCTTCAGAAAGTTGTAACAAATATTTAATATTTTAATAAATATTTTTTAAAAACATATTTTTTTGAAAAAAATCTAGCAAAAATTTAAAGAAAAGGTAAACTTAAATTTCAAATTTTATATATTTATACAAAGTTATTTAAAATAAATAAATTATTAAAATAAATATTTAAAAAATTTATGTATTGGTATACAATGTAAAAACATGTCTAATGATATTGTATAATAAAAATTTTCAAATTATTTCATGTATTGTGTTGTTTAAAAAGTAATTTAGCTTCTTTTTATTTATTTTTTAATGTTTTACGAGTGCCAATGAATAATTGTTTTACTTCTTTATATATTCATGATCTCGTATATCACATGTGGGCTTTTTCAGATTTTTTATGCATCATCTTCATTTCCTGCAAAAGCCTTAAAATTTTTATACTCTTCAAAAACAGTAAATTCTTTTAATTTTTTTCAAATTTTCATGAATTGTCATATAAAAACAAATTATCACTTAAAAGTTGCGTATCCAATGAATATTATTAGAGTATAATTTCAGAATTTTTCAGTTGCAACAGCTGAAAAAATTATAAAATTTTACAAAATTTTTAAGAAAATGTCATATTTCTAAAAATTGTCGGAAGAAAATGAAACACCTTGCAAACGTTGTGTATTTAGAAAAGTATTACTCATGAATTGTTTTAAAATCTTCCTGGTTCAGTTTCCTTCTTATTCAGTAACTGTCTCATGAGGGTTTTGTTAGCTTTTTTATGTTATTAATAATATTTTAAAATTGCAACCAAAAGTAAACAAGATATAGAAAAGTGAAGAGTACACCATATCTCCACAAATGTAAAATTGATGGCTGAATTACGTTTGGTATAAAAGCACAGGAAAATTCATCAAAAGAGCGAGTTTTTTCTTGACTAGCAAACTGTAATATGAATGGGTATATGTTCAATTAATTCACAATTATGTTCCAGTTAAATCAAAACATGGATAGAAAAGAAAACGAATCTGGCTTTAGGCGAAGCACAAGTTTCCAGATTTCAAGAAAACAGGCAAAATCAATACAAAAGACTTCAAGAAAACAACATTTAAGTTACAAAAGAAGGCATCGAAGCGCATTCTGAAATTTTCAAATTTGATGTCAAAGGAGACCACCAAAGGAGACCAAAGGAGACCTTCCATCACCTTTAGCCTCAGCCGTACCCCAAACCAGAATTGAACTTGTGACAGTTGCTAAAACATGTGGCAGGTATAGAATGCTGGACAGACTTGGTGCTGCATTTGCGATATCATTATCATATGATTTACAGAGAGTAAAAACAAAGATGAAAATACAAACTAAGAAATAAAAGATGAAATTACAAAATGCAAAAATTCTTCAATCACTGAAGACAGATTTAGAATTGGCAAAAGTAGCAAAGAATACTGTAATTAAATATGCGGAATTAAATAATGAATAGGAAATCAAAGCTCTAGATATTTACTTTCATGGAGAAAAAAACAAATCGTTAGTCATGAATTCGGCAAAATATACGAAGGCTCCTATCGTAGATCTAAAACAAAACCATATATATATATAGTTTATTTAAGATCTAAGAACTATTTGACCTAAACTCATCTCTCCGTAAACTCGGACATAACGGAATCCATTTTGATTTTTTTTTAAATAGCGAAACTAATGATGCCTCTCAACTTATTGTAGTTGGTTGCGTTGGAACTATGGTAAATGTTTAGAATTAGACTTTATTTGTTTGCTTAAAAGGATCTGCAAAGGGTGATAGGTAAGTTTCACTCAAATGCGCAGTGACTAAAAATATTTGGATTTGCCAAGACGGTCAGAGAATGAGACTTTAAAGTTTTTTCTGACCAATGGGCAAAAGTTCAACTGCGAACATACTAACTATTACGTTTCAGCGTATTAAAAAGATTCGTCAGAAATGATGGTTCAATTTTATTTTTTGCGTCGTAAAATTACATTCTTTAAAATATTAAAAATTTGCGTACCTTAAATTTACAAATTATTCTACTTTTATAAAATATTACCATAAAAAATAATAACGTGGAATTTCTACCATTAGAACAAAAATAATTCAAAATGATTATCTTTCTTTGCGTGATGTACCTTTTAATAATTTTCAGAGGGAGAGAAAAAAGTGCATAAAATTTATCACATGGGAAGGATTTTTTCTAGATTAGTAAGGNTCCTGCAAAAACCTTAAAATTTTTATACTCTTCAAAAACAGTAAATTCTTTTAATTTTTTTCAAATTTTCATGAATTGTCATATAAAAACAAATTATCACTTAAAAGTTGCGTATCCAATGAATATTATTAGTGTATAATTTCAGAATTTTCAGAATTTTAATCAAAAGATGCACTCTACACAATAATCCCATTTGCTTTAAAATGATTAAGCATTATTAATTAGCATACATAATTAAGCCATCTAAATTACATAATTAATAAGCATACATAAACAATAAGCATATTCATAATTAAATTTGTTCAACCACCATTCTTTATGAGTAATTTCTAATTATTAACTGGTATTTTAATGTTTTTATTTTTTAAACAGAGAAAATACTTAAACTTTATTTAGTGATTGATTTTTGTGTTGCATAAACTATTTATCTTTCAGTCGAAATTATTTATAAGAAAATTAAATGTATCTTTAATAAATATTTCTTGTGTTATGTGTATAACAAAAAGTTAAGTTCGCATAAATTAAGTACCTAATACTGCCCAAATTTATATTTGTAGATTATAAATACGTAGTTTAAGGAGTTTCGCATTTTGATTAATACATAATTTAATAAAATCATTTTTAGTTTCTAATATGAACCTTTACCTTAAGAAATTCGTTTTTGATATAATATATTGCTATAAAGCATATTAATGGAGCAAACCTAAAACTATCACAATTTCTGTAACATCCTTAAACTTTTAAAAATGTTGTTTAATTTAAAAATAATATATTGATTTCTTTTTTATAGAAAGAGTGTATGGATTTCTTGGATAGACTTCATGATGAAAAGAAATGCTGAAATACTGAAATGTTTAAAAAATAAAACAGCTGTTGACCTTTAATCCGTAGCAGTTTTCAAGCATTTAATAAAAATTTGCATAGATTGTTTGGAATTATTTTTTCCTAACGTATAAAGAAAGTATTGAATAGACTGTGAGAAATTTCTGGAGAAAAATGGATAAATAACAATTTATTTGATTGTATTTTAATATATTCATCAAAAACAGTTAAATAACTAAAAATAAGAAGATATTCAAACTGTCAGCGGTGAGAAAAGCAGTTTATTAACTGCTTTCACCTAATATGGCTAAAAAGTCAGAATTTTGTCGCACAAACTAGGCTCACCTGATGAAGCTGCTTAGTTCTTTACAACTGGGTACATTTTATCCGGAGCAAATCCGGAAATCTTATGATTTACAGAACGGGGGTTCAAACCCAGCGTTAACACAACAATTTTTCCTCATTTTCTTTTGACTTATGAAGAGTTTCCAGAGTCCTGTACTCCTCAATTTGTGACCCTGGCCTGGATACTTTTATTCACGTATCGATGGCAGGAACATAAAACTGCTTACCTTTATAAAAGGCAAATATTTCCCATCTTTTATTACTGTGAAACCGAATAATCCAAATAACTCACATTACTTGTACGTTTGATAAAACACAACTCCTTTAAAACCAAACTGCTATGCCCTTTACCTAACGAAAAGCCTAGCTCAAATGTCATGTTAAATTTCCGTTGTTTGTCCGTTCTGAGACTATGCTTGCTGCAAATGGTTAAAAAAATCATATAATTTTGTATTCATGATTTTCTAAACATACTAGTTGAAAACGGTTTAAAAATGGTTTAAAAACCGTAAATGTTAAAAAAATGCTTTTTACTGTAAACTTTAGGGCTGATTGAATGAACAGACAGCTGCCGGTTATTTAATAATAATTTCAGAATGATAATTCTTCTTCAGGGGCGCAACAGCCCTTTGCAGGCCTTGGCTGCCTGAACAGCACGCCTTCTCCAGCTCTCTCTGTCCATGGCAACTCCCCTCCAGTTCTTAAGTTTTAGGACTTTGATAATTGCAACAGTGTAAATTTAATCTTACACTGTCAGACATTAGACACAGTTAAAAATTTTACAGTTTGTTGGATCGTAATTTCGATCATAATTAGGTCTATTTTAATTCAGTATCAGATGACATTAAAACCTAATTATCTCTCTGATTACGCGACACTGTAGTTTAACTTAACCTAACTACGATGCAATTCTATGCAATTCGAAGATGTAAAAAGCTACAAGATATTACGTTAAAAACACGATATTATGTTTATAAAGGTTCATCTTTGAATTGATTTGTTTAAAGAAATGAAAAGTATTTTGTACTGGTGTACGGAATGTGAGAAACGGCAAACATGCCAATTGCATGCCAAGAGTTGAATAAGACTGTTGTATTATTACAATACTTTGACGATTAACTTAACTCGGAAGTTAGTTACAAAAATTATTAAATTACGAAAATAACATCTATTTCTTATTCTATTTAAAGGCCATTTTTGACGAAAATTATTAAAATAACATACTTCACAAAAATCAAGATAATTTATCTAAATAAATATGCTAGTCCAGAGGCGTTTTGTCAGAATGTTCATAATACGGAAGAGCATCAAGTGGTGAGTGATGGCATCCTTTTTCACGGGCTAATAAGCAATTTTCAATTCTTAATAATGCCCTCAACCTATCAAATTTTCATAAATATTTGTGGGCCAACCTCAATATATTTATCTACTAGCTGATTACATTGTCTCCGATAGGTGTGAAAACGAGAAAATTATCAATTAACCAGTACTTAGCAACACAAAGAAATAATACAAAAAACAGAAGGTACATGGCAACACAAAGAAATAATACAAAAAACAGAAGGTACATGGCAACACAATTAGAAAAGCTAAACTAATACCAAATAAATATTTCCCCTCTATTCTACTTGATATTTATTAATCAAGAAAAATACAAGTGTCCTTTAATCTCAATGAATGTTTATTTCTAGAAATATATATAT